TTTTTTTTTTATAACATAAGGTGGCAAACGAGCAAGCGGACACTAGAATCCGCCAAAATGGGGAAGCGACCGCTGCACATAGACATCCGCAATTGCAGATGCATTGCCCATCCTTATACGACGGAGGAGAAGATGCACATAAAGAGGTTATTTTCCCTTTCTATGCATCTCCTCCACCGTCAAATCCACTTCCCCTTCCCAACCTCTCCTTATAATAAAACGATGGTAAAGAGAAAGGGACTTAAATTAGGCCTCCGGATTTGAATTGAACCGGATTGTAGTTCGCTACAACTATGGTACTATGAATTGAATTTGGAACTTTCATTTAATGGAAAAATACAAAATTATAATTGATCCCTACTTTTTTATCTCTTTTTAATTATAATTCTGGGACGTCTGTTTTAGATTTTTGGTTATTTACCTTTAAACTACTAGATATCCTTTTCCCATCTTTAAGCCATTCGAAGTGTATTGGAAGATCACCGCTCCTTACATTACAGTAAATATTTACAATTTGTCCTTCTTGAAGATTATTGCCTAAGAGTAGATCTTCTAATATCGGTGCTTCTATAACTTGTATTTCAAACGCTCTTCTTGCCATTTCACCAGACGGACTGGTTACTATACAAGTAAATACAGCACCGTTCTGTTCTTTACTAACTTCTGGTATAGTAAGAACTCCGTGAATATTTACTACATTTCGTCTGGTTTTAAGTTTCTTTCCTGTACCACGTTTGTATCTCGTTTGAAATATGTTGTTGGAATTTATTATTTTCCCTTTGAAATCCCAATCTATCTTACTGGAAATGTGATTATTAATTGATTATTGTTGTTAGTATTATAGTATTATATTAAGTATCTGCGAAAGTTAACCCTAAGAGAAGACACGTCTATACTATTATAATAAAGCGTAAACATACACTTCTTTGTAGCCTAAGATGTCAGCAATTACAGCATATCTTTGAATAATTCTTTTTTTTAAATGTAAGGCCTTCACTTACGTCACGCTTTAGGCTATATATTTTCACGCCATTAAACTTATTTTGGATAAAAACCCTAATATGGGAAAGAGACCAAAGTTGCTGCCAACATAAAGGAAGCAAGGTTATTATGATGACGGTATTTTGACATTTTCTAATTGATTTGACATAGACAAATGTAACAATGAAGTAAAGTTTTTATAATTTAATGCGGATGAAGCCGCACGAGAACAGCTAGTAAAATACGCAGCATTTAATTTCTGGAAAGAACCAAATCAAGTTAATTCCATAACAGAATTATTTTCGCTTCGTTTTAGATTTAATTTTGGAGGCGTATTCTCGAGAGTATTTTCAACATTTCTGACACATTTTCTATTGTAGCTGAACCATTTATTACCTTATAGGGTAGCCGTAGAATGGACATCTCAAATTAACCGCTTCGCCGCTTTGAACTTTTATTGGCGGCAGGGATCTGATATATGGCGGCCCTAAAAGTTAGAAAACATTTTTTAGTTTTGCTTCTGTCCTTTTATCTTTTGACATATTAAACTACGCTCCAGAGATACTATAATATATGGATTATGATATCATTCAAGTTTCAAATATTAAAAGTTGGAAATATTGTAAGTTTAGATATTATAAGTGCAAATGTAGCTTAATTAGATTTTCTTCTTGAAATCTCACTTATACTGACATTACAAATAAGATTGGATGGATAGATGGATGTTACTAAGTGTCTCAAGAACGGCTTAACTAATCTTACTGATTTCGACCAAAGTCTGCAAAAATATATGGGCTATATACTAAGTTTAATTGCATTGACGGCCAAGAGTTAGGAAAGGAAACATACCATAAACATCAAGTCGATTTTCATGCGTGGCAAAATTATCTCCTTCTTTAGCAGTACAAGAATATAGCCCTCCATCTTCCACTCGCACTCTTGTTATATTTAGTTGTGTGACTACGGAGTTATCTGACGTCATCACTTGTCCCAAAGCATATCTGAAATTAGAGTAGTTTTATTGCATAACTTTCAGCTGTTTGGACCTTTTTATCATCGTGGACCATTCTTGCAGCACTTAACGTTACTGACTATACCACTGTTATTATTTTTATTTGTAGTCTCTACAGTATATTCAAGTATTGGTACCTTGGGTCAGTGTTACTGGAGATTGTAACTCCATCTCTCCCCCATGTGAACTGGGGCGGTCGGTCGCTGGACGCCGCACATTGCATGCTTATCTGAAATTATTAGAAATAATGGATAATATTCAGATTTAAACGTGCTTACTTGACCTACTAGTTGTCAAGTTCACCTTAGGTCGAAGCTTGAGATAAAGATCTGCATTTGATCTTTATCTTGGAAAAGGTCGAGGTAGTGCTAGACTGAGAAAGGAGACGTTTATTGTAAGTCAAATCTCGGTACCAATGTGATTTTTGATTTTTGGAATTTCATATGTGCATAATTTTGCCGACGTTCTTACGGTGAAGGAAAACATCGTGAAGAAATTCAAAGATATGTGTGAAGTCAATCAACCCGTAGTAAGCCAGCATGGTTGACTAAGGCTTAGTGACCCTAATTTAGGGTAGGCTTCTAGCTCCTCAGAGGGGACGTACAGTGAGCTGGTGATGATGATGTTTCAGTAGATCACACTGGTTGCTAAATTGGTTTAAGACTTTTCTTTTTAATTCTTTGTATTTAAACTTTTGGTTGTTACTTACATCACCGCCGGGCGTAACCGTGCGCTCAGTAAAATGTTGTGTGATAATCAAACGATTCTCAGATATATTTCTTCTAACTCGTTTTCTTCTATCTAATCCTGGAAAATAAATGAAAATCACCTTTAATTTTATCACATAATACCTTCGCCCGCGACTTCGTTCGCGCGGAATTTAAAAAACAAAAGTAAGTGGCCTATGTGTTCTTCCAGACTATCTTCTATATCTATACCAAATTTAATCGAGATCTGTTCAACCGTTTATGATACAAACTGTAAAGAATATACATTTAAACTTTCGTTTTTATATTAATAAGATTGTTTTTAGAAGTACTCGAATTACTATCTCCTGAAATAATTCGGAATTGGAATTAGGAATTTTCCTTTAAATTAAAAAAAATGATTTCGGTCCAAATATAATTTACGGCCCGTGCTAAACTCGTTTATTGTTTAGTGATGTGCTATCAACATCGATATCTTACAAAAGCAAGCATAGAAATTTCAAAAACATTAAATAAAATAATACAACACGTTGGATATTCACTTTATTCTGTATATTATACACATTTTCATAACCCTTTGTCAACAGTAATCAAAATAAAAGAAATCGAATAAATCAAGTTATTATTTGATTCAAATTTTAAGAAGCAAAGTATGCAAAATACAGTTCATCACAGGAAGTATCGACAACAATTACTAGAATACGGACATCACTACGACATGACAGATTCGGCCATTCCCATTACGGAGCGTCGCTGTAACGTTGCAATCTGGCAGGGAATATAATCACGAGGGTCGCAATTTGCCCGGCGAATGGCCATGACTTCACACCTTGTTATGTGCCGGTTAATGGAGGTGAGATTTGAACAATTTCTGACTTGATAGACTGTTATTAAAGTTAAATTACAGTTATTAAATTCTAATTGTGATGTGATTTTTTATCATTATCATCACCAGCTCACTATACGTCCCCACTAAGGGGCTCGGAGACTACCCTAAGTTAGGGTGACTAGGCCATAGTCAACCACGCTGGCCCAGTGTGGGTTGGTTGACTTCACACATAACTTCGAATTTCATCGAATTTGGAATTGAAGAACATCGGGTAAATTATGTACATATGAAAATTCGAAAAATTTAAAATCACATTGGTACAGCAGGATTCGAACCCAAGACCTGTAGATTACAAGTCAAGTGCTTAAACCACTGAACCACCGATGCTCTAATTGAGTTTTTTGGTTTCTTATAATTTATTTACAAAGAGAGGAATATAGCTATCTATCGGTCAGTATCTTTTTATACATGTGGCTTAATTTCTGGTAAAAAAATTGAGAAATTAAAAAAAGACGGAAAATACACTTTAGCAAGAACTTCATAACATTCCTTGAATCATTTAAGGTATATTTCGGAGAATCTTTGACTAACCATATTGTAATCTATAGAAATATTTATAAATAACCTAGCACAGTTTTGTGATGAGTTCATAAAGGTTGTGTACAAACAAACGCATACTTCATTAGTTGAAAGCGACAATGCAATCGAAAACCAAAATTCGATTGAACGAACGAGATAGTTAGCTAAAATTCTACTGAAATTGTTAGCACGATTTCAAATTCCGAACGTTGTTTTTTAAATGTAAACAATGTAGATTGTGGATTTCAAATTATTTCAATTTAGAAGTTAGGATAAACTTTTGTTCATATAGTAAAAGTTGTAGACTCATTTCATTTATAATAATAAATTTACAATTTTAATTCACGATAATACTTCTTTTCCCAAACCATAAGAAAGTGTGCACACCTTTAACAAAACCACCACACAACTTTTAGTTTTTTAGTTGTGAAAAACAGTTGAATTGGCTACGAAACAATCGACAATCACAAAATAGTCGTGCGATAGTTTAGTCAAAGGTGTGTATAAATAAACTAGCTGTTCCCGTGTGGCTTCATCCGCATGAAATTATGATTTATTTTATTATTTACATTTGTCAAATTATCAATAGCAAATGTCGAAATGACATGACTTGACAAATCTTGGCAATCATGCTTCCTTGATGTTGGCAACAATTTATGGTCTCTTTCCCACATTAGGGGTTTTTATCCAAAATCTTTACCCCCTAAGTTTTATGGTGTGAAAATATATAGCCTAAAGCGTGACGGAATTGTAGGGCTATTTTAAAAAAAAGAATTATTCAAAAATATGCTGTAATTGCTGACATCTTAGGCAACAAAGAAGTGTGTGTTTACGCTTTATTATAATAGTATAGCAGTATAGATATACATAAACAAAGCTATCAATAACCTAAACTAAATCCTCCAGTTCAATTAGCAATTTTACGTCTATGAAATTCCTAATGCATCTCTCTAATATTTGAGGCAATTGTCAGTGCTAGTACGTCACTGTCGCACGTCATTCCGCAAGCCAGCGCCAGCAAATATGATTATCTTCGGACGTATGCAATTTGCACACCCACCTTGCTTCGGAAAGCAATTTTGTAGCTGCATTGATTTCACGAAATAAAGTTGATTACAACGTACTAAATACGTCTACCATTATTACCTAGCTGTTGCTCGCGATTACGTCCGCCCGAAAATAAATAAAAAATCAGCATTTGTTACAGTAAGTAACGCAGTTTTCAATGGTACATGAAATTTAAAATTGGCCCAGTATTTTATGAGTTATTTCAATAAGTACAAAAATCGAAAATTACAAATATTTCCTTTTTATAATTTTTAAAAATTAGTATAGTAACGTATAGACTAGCGCTGCAAGTAATTAAAAAAAAACACTTAGTAGATAGTTTGTGTTTTTGCAGACTATATTTTGCATATGTGCAAAATTTCTTTGAAATCCTTTGTGACGTTTTGGAAACACCTTCTAACATACATCCTGTCATCCGTCTAAACTTTCGCATCTTACTAATCTAACTTCTTACTATTGTTATAAATGCGAAGTTTCGATAGATGGATGGATGGATGGATGTTTGTTAAGAGTTTGTAGACTAAACAGTTGAAAGGATTTCGATGAAATTTGGTATAGGAGAATAGTCTGGAAGAACACAAAAGCTACTCATTTTTTTTAATTCCACTCGGATGGAGAAGTGGGCGAAAGTTATTTTGGAATATCGGTAAGATAGTAAAGGTAACATTTACATATTCTATTTACAATTTAATATAAGTCTATATTGTAGCCAATCTGTCATAGGTCAATCTGTTTCTTTAAGTTATGCGTCAACTATAGATTAACAATCGTGAGTGGAAATTAAGCGACATTTAATAAGTGGATGGCTACTAAGGAAGACCGAAGAAAGTATGAATGGATTGTGTAAAGGATATGCTTAAGAAAGGAATGGATACAGATATGACAGCTGATAGAAATGTATGGAGCAGCACATACTGTGCCGACCCTCTATAAGGGATAAGGGCAAGTTGATGATGATGAGTGGGAATTAAGCAACATTATTCCTGTAACTTACAAAAGTCTAGAAACAAATTTAACTTTACAGATAATAAAAACTTGCATGACAAAATTTAGAGTCGAAATTCTTGAGATTCAGGGACATTTAATTAGGCGTTACATTGCAAATGGCTTGTAGTCTCAACTTTAAATGGTTCCCTTAAAATACATGATTTAAACTCCTGTAGAAATAAAGGGGACTTAGTTTGGAAGTTTAATTGGAACACATCTAAGTAGTCAGTAACCTAGATAAGTTGAAGTCCAAGTTAAGGTGGTAAGTTGGAAAACAAAGAGTATTGTAAATTTTTTTTTGTATAACATAAGTCTATATTATAGGAGCCACAGCCATGTTATGCTTTACTAAAACATAGTCTTCTGTAGGTCTTATGTTTTCTTCCAATTTGTACAGAATAATTTTACCAATAACCCCGTTTTTTTACTGTCAACCATCCTCCATCCGTCACTACCAATATGGCCGTCGTGTAGTCGAGCCAATACCCTTATTTCTGACATATGACTACTGTCCGATTATTAACATAACAAATACAAAGCTTGTATTGTTATTTTAAATAAAGATAAATGGTATTGATCTATAACACAGATTAAATTACCTAAAAGAATACAGAATAAAAAAAATATTTAAAAAGCTAACAATATCCATACTAATATAATAAAGCGGAAAGATGGGCCTATTTAAAAAAAAAATTCAACGTTAGAAAGTTAACTTATCTGTAAGTAACATAGGCAATATATTTTTTAATTTCACGCGGACGAAGTCACAACCTACAGCTAGTATAACACGTGTTTAATTATGTTTCGTAGAAATAAAACTTCCATACTTGATAACGAGAATATTCTGGCATATTAAATTTGGTGATGTTAATGTTTTCCCTGAATTCTATAACTGAGTTTGTTTCGCACATAATTATGTAATATTTGATCCGTACCATGACACTTAAATTGGATTAGTCAAATTATGTGACGTATCACTAAACTATGCTAATTGGTAACGCTTCAGTGAACTGTGTAATTAAATTTTCTAACACTATTTTAAAAGCGGGATGGATGAAATGGCGACAGGTCACAGAAGTAACATGCGATCCTCAAATTCCACTTAAACTAAAGGGGAAAATTTACAAGGCCGTCGTAAGACCTGTCATGATGTATGGATCTGAATGTTGGGCAGTGAAAGGAACGGATGAAAGGAGACTATATGTGACAGAAATGCGAATGTCATGATGGATGGGTGGGGTAACACGAATGGATAAGATACGAAATGAGTATATTAGAGGAAGTTTGAGAGCAGCCCCCGTAGTAGAGAAGGTAAGGAGTAAAAGGTTAGCATGGTATGGGCATGTTATGAGGAGGGATGAATCGCATTTTACAAGGAGAACGTTAGTTATGAGTGTGGAAGGGTACATCGGTAGAGGTAGACCTAGAAAGAGATGGATGGATTGTGTAAAAGGTGACATGATCGAAAAGGGAGTGATGACTGAGATGACGTATAAAAGTGTTATGTGGAAGACAAAAACCTGTTGCGCCGACCCTATGGGAGTAGGATAAGGAGATGATGATGATGACTATTTTGAAGCCAAATTACATACCATATAGTTACTGTAGATATATAAATATATGTCGACAACAACGAACGTAAATATATACTAAAAAAATTCTTTGTAAGTCTATTGACAATCAAAAAATCTATCATTTAATGGAACGTAAAATATACGCACAGTTCAATAGAGCATGTGATGACAGAGGGGACATGCTATCAATCGGTGAAATTGAACAATGGCCACTCTGAAAAATATTACATAAATCTAAACAGACATGTAAGGATCAAGAAATTAAACCCCTAACTACCTTATCGATTAAATTAAAGGGGTAATTCCTTTTACTACCTAGCTGTTCCCGTGCAACTTCATCCGCATAAAATTGTAAAAAAAAATATTTTATTGTTTACATGTGTCAAATTATCAATTGTAAATGTCATAAGGACATGACATGATGACAAGCCATAGCAACTTTGTTTCCTTTGTGTTGGCAGCAACTTATGGTCTCTTTCCCACGTTAAGGTTTTAATCCAAAATATTTACCCCTAAGTTTAATGGCGTGAAAATATACAGCCTAAAGCGTGACGTAAGGGTAGGGCTTTTATTAATAAAATAATTATTTAAAAATATGCTGTAATTGCTGACATTTTAGGCAACAAAGAAGTGTGTGTTTACGCTTTATTATAATAGTATAGATGTTTAACGGCTGAAGTGTGAAACGAATCTTAAACAATTATAATCTGAGTGACTTTAAATTATAAATGCTGGGTTGCTGAAGTTTCCGTTTATTTTTTCGTTACCTAGTGATTCTTTAGTGTTTGGTTGACCTGAGACCTTGAAGTTATGATACAAAAAAGGAATGGATAAAAGTAGCTGGGAAACCGGCCATATTGAAATTTAGAGTATAAGCTTGCCCTTGTCACTTAAGATGGTTACATAATTAAATGTTCCAGTATTCGACAGTAAGCACTTCGTAGAACATAAAGTAACTAGCTTTCGCCCGCGACTCTGCTCGCTTGAAATTAAAAAAAAAAACAAAAACAAAAGTGAGTAGCCTATGTGTTCTTCCAGACTATCCTCTACATCTATACCAAATTTCATCGAAATACGTTCAGCATTTTAGGCTACAAACACCAACAAACATCCATCTAAAGACTCGTATGGTAATAATTGTTTATTTACATATATTCGTGCTCGATCCAGTCTTTTCTTCCTCTTCACTGACATGCGCCGTCGAGGTTTCTGCATGCCAGATACATCGCCACACATCCATCCATCGTAACTTTCGCATTTATAATATTTATATGATATATGATATGATGTGAAAGTTTAGATGGATGGATGATCCAACCATCCATCCATCCATCCATCCATCCATCCATCCATCCATCCATCCATTCATCCATCCATCCATCCTAAATTCTTCTCTCTCTCCAATCTAAACTTTCGCATTTATAATATTAGTATGATTACTATGAAGTATGATATAAAAGAAATCTACATACACATATCATCTATTACTTTCACACATACAAATGTCAGTTGTATAAAAGCTTATGCCACGATTCCCGCTCCATTCGCAGAGTAAATAAATAATAGCAATAAATAATCTGCCGCTGACACCGACCTCGCGGAGTGGTCTCTGCTCTGCCGCCTAACGATTGAACACCGACCGTCTGTCACACCGAAGCGAGCATTAGAACGAAATATTAACGTCCAATAATCATTTATTGATACGTTGTCTTAAGAGCGAATAATCGCTCTTTGCTATAAACTGCGATGATGTCATCTTCATGTGTAAATTTTATATTTAATTAATTAGTTAAATAATCGACTTTTAATAATTTTCCCAAGAATTCTCGATTAACGCAGATTGTATTTATTTTGAATAAGTAATAAATGAGCACTTATTAAATAATATGTATTTTTATTAGATTAGATAACTTTACAGTAATAATATTGAACGATTTAGTATACATATAACTTCATAATAAGCTATTTTTTCGGTGGCAGATTAAAATCTATGAATAAAGAAATTTATACATTACAGACATGAAATTCAAATGGATACTTTTTTTATTCTTTAATTATTATCACAGATAATATACATAGATGGTAATAGCGATCACTCTGTCCATTCGTTGTTCTATAAAAGTTACCTGTAACGGTATGATAGTCGGACTGTGCCGTATTTTATTTGGGACAGCTTTTGTTGTTTCGGTCCCGTGGCTTATGTTTGTTTTGCTTAGTACTGAGCACCCTTCCTAATGATTCATATCGTACAAGCCACTTCACTTACTCGTACAACAATCAGCACAATTTGAACTTTGAATCATGAAACATAAAGTGGAAAATAGCTTGTGTATAGACCCATCGTTTGTCAGTCTACTCCTGAGATTTCATTCGGTTGTCAAAACAAAAGGCTCGTATTTGTCAAAGGGTTGGCTTGTTTGTTGGTCCATTAAAAGTGTTAGGGCTTATTAGTACTGTATAGTTTTTAAAAACAAGTATCTTTCGAGAAATTAAAGAGTTTAAAAGGGGTGATAGTCTTGTAAATGTTAAGATTTATTTTTATAATATAAGTTGGCAAACGAGCAAGCGGCCACCTGAATCCACCGAAATGGAAAGCGACCGTTGCCCATAAACGTCCGCAAATGTAGATGCGTTGCCTACCCTTAATTGACGAAGGAGGAGACGCACATAAAGAGGACATTTCCCCTTTAGATGCGTCTCCTCCACCGTCAAATACACTTTTCCTTTCACTTCTTTCCTCTTAAGAAAAGGGTGGAAAGGAATTGGACTAAAATTAAGCCGCCGGCACCACACTCATCAGACGAAACACGGAATTACTTCCATTTCACGCCTGTTTTCTGTGTGGTCGAAGATGTTAAAGCGGGCTCTACCACTATTAATAGCTAATTAAATAATGTTTTTATAGTGTTTTTGTTGTGAGTTAAATTAAAATTTATGGTATAAATGAAGTAGATTACTTACTTCTTCTTGAATACGAACTCAATTCTTGATCTGGTATTGCAAAGGTCAGTAACCTGAAAAACAAAAATATACTTTCATTTTTCTGTTCATTTACATACAAAAGTCAAAACAAACACGCGTGAAATACATTACACTGTTAATCTGGTAAAAAGATAACAATGAATTTCGCAACATTTTTAATCATTGTAATTGTTATATCCTCTAATAACATAACAAGATGAAGCTAACATCTAACCTTGTTAGCCGTTCATAACAATAATGTAATTGAAACTCAACTTTATGCAATTAACTAATGGTTCGCCGGAACCGATCTATTTGAATAAAGACAGATATTGCACTGAAAACTTGATCATATTTCAATTTTTATAATAGATTGAATATTCTTGTTGTAATTATTATACGTTATGTTAGTAATTCATTTGTGTTTTTGTTTAAATTGTTGCATAAGAGCGGGGGCACACCTTTGATTAAAATATCGCACATTTGTGCGATTGTCGATTGTTTCGCAGCCAATGCAACTGTTAAGTTGCGCAAATAACAATCGAGTAGTATGCGCACCATATGAATTAAAGCGAAACTAAACAGTTGTGCGATAGTTTAGTTACAAGTAAGCGAACGCTCTAAAGAGTTTCAGTTATTTAATACAGGTATTGACTACCACTAGATTATTTCTTACTAGCTGTTCCCGTGCGGCTTCATCCGCATGATATTATGAAAATTTTATTTCATTGTTTACATTTGTCAAATTATCAATAGCAAATATCAAAATGACATGTCATGACAAACCTTGGCAATATTTTTTGATGTTGGCAGCAACTTATGGTCTCCCACATTAGGGTTTTTATCAAAAATATTTAAGCCTAAGTTTAATGGCGTGAAATATATAGCCTAAAGCGTGACGTAAGTGTAGGGCTTTTTATTAAAAAAAGAATTATAAAAAAATATGCTAATGTAATCGCTGACATCTTAGGAAACAAAGAAATGTAGAATTCTTTATTATAATAGTATAGATTACATTTAATATTAACTTTTGCACGCGATAATAATAAAGAAATGAACAAATATAGGCTATGTTACTCATATATAAATTTTCTAACGGTTAAGGAATTTTTAAAATTAGTTCAGTAGCTTTTGAGCCTATACAATACAATCAAACAAACAAAGCTTTCTTCTTTATAACATTAACAAGTATAGATAACCGTCATTATGCCTACAACTGTTGCAATTATTCTTATAGTGTAGTGAATGAAAATTCAGACAGATTAAAAAACGTCAACAGAATTCATTCAGCCAATGTCTGCCTGCGGTTTCGTAATCTGTCCACAATGTGAAACAGTCCGATTCATCTCGGTGGCCATTGAACGACCATGGCGACCAGACGAGCGTGAATTTAAGGGAAACCTCTTCACTTGGCTCCGTCAAATTTTTATGAAACATTCTCCGAAATAACCCGCGCTGGATAACTGCAGGAAACTCTAGACGCTTTTGAATAATTCATTCTGGGTGCAGTTGCACTGCGTTGTTTAGCGAAGCGTTGTTCGTATGTTTATTTTATTATGTTATATTAATAAATTAATATTCTATGTAATTTAAAATACATGTGTATTCTTATACTGGTTGTTCCTATGCGACTTCATCCGCATAAAATTATAAAAACTTCAATTTATTGTTCACGTTTGTCAAATTATCAATTACAAATGTCAAAATGACATGACATGATGACAAACCATGGCAACCTTTCTTCCTTGATGTTGGCAACAACTTATGATCTCTTTCCCACATTAGGGTTTTTATCCAAAATATTTACCTCTAATTAAAATTGAGAACGTTCGTTCGTTTAGTGGAAACGAGTCTTACGTCTCGTCTTCAACAAACTCCAGCGGCTGTTGCAGGCGAGGGGTTAAGTTGAAAATTTACATAATCCCGGGGTCGAGAACTGGGACAACAACTGGGAATCACAGTTTTGACTCGCACCGGAGCTGGCGAATAATTTGAATAGTTTTAGATTCAACCGTTTAAATTGCAAAGTAAGGATCCAGATGCTTTTAATCGATTTTTATAGCATTGCAAACAACTCAGTCAACTGTTTTTAAAAACATGTGTCTTAAAAATAATTCAGAGGCAATCTGACTAATATTATAAATTAGCTTTCGCGCGCGACTCCGTCCGTGTGGAATTAAAAAAAAATGTGAATAGCCTATGTGTTCTTCCAGACTATTCTCTACATGTATGCGAAATTTCATCAAGATCCGTTCAGCTGTTTAGGCTACAAACTCTAACAAACATCCATCCATACATTTATTCATCTAAACTTTCACACTTGTAAGATGTAAAAGTTTGGTGTTAGAGTTTGTAGCCTAACTACTAAAAGGATCACGTTGTAATTTGGCATAGATGTAGAGGATAGTCTGCAAGAACACATAGGCTACGTACTTTTCTTTGTTTTAATTTCACATAGACGGAGTCGCGGTTAAAAGCCGTACTGTTCCGGGGCCGCTCGGCTCTTGTTTCAATAGATGTGATGTGAAGGTTTCCAGACCAGCGGAGCGTAAAGTGCATCCTACCGACCGATTTATATTTTATTCATGGATCTCTGTCAGATAGTGTAGGTATTAGAGAGAATACACATGACAGGCAAACTTGCATTCAACCACAGGTATATGTAAAAGCTAATTTGCTTGGTATTAAATTTTGTGACACGGATATGTAAGATGAGAAAAGTGACGTAGGGATACGAAACTTTACACTGACATGCAAATAACTGTTCCATTTATCTGGTATTTTCGTATTGAGCTAGTAACTGGCATGCAAGATATTTTTCCTTTTTACTGGCATGAGTATTCCCGCCCTTATTTATATTTTTTGTACATAAATAAGCCGAATTATTTTTTAAATGTTAAAAAAAGTTTTTCGAAAGTTGACGTTTATTATGCAAAATATTTATTCTCCATCACGCTCTGTCTACGATCTTGTGCGAACTAGCGTAGCGTGCTACGACGTAGCGTAGAGCTCGTAGGCATTTTTAATGTCTTAACATAGGAACTTGATTTTAGTTAAGGTATACTTATAGATATATAAGTAATAGAATAAGCTGTTTTTAACAATATTATAAAATAAGTAAGAAATATCTAAATTTGAAGTAAAAATACCGTTATAATGTATGCTTTTTCAAATAATTTTCTTCTTACTGTAAGTATTATTTCACATCGTTTTGATACATTTATATTTTAATCTTTGACGGAAAACTAATATTTCTAGACCGCAAGATAGTTTCGTGTATAGAAAGAGGAAATATGAAATATTTTTTGCAACGAGAACAGTTTGCAGAGTACAGTTAGTGCTGAGCTATTCCAGATTCTCTGTAATAGGGCTGTCACTAAAAGTTTACATTAACTATAAAAGATTTTTATGTATTCTATATGAAAAAAAGGACAAATGATAACACTATCTAAGATGTAGGTATGAATATCTAGACTTACTCGTACTAAATTAGTTAATTATACCAACTTAGATTTTTGGATGGATGTTTCGATAAACCCGATCTCAATGAAATTTGGAATAGATGTCTAAAAGAACAGTTTTTTTTTTAATTCTACGCGGACGTAATTCTGGGCGGAAAACTAGTAAATAATAAAGTAATTATATCAAAAGCAATTTGATACATTTTTAAGGTAAAATAAATAACTAATTTGACATCCATATTACCAATCACCGATAGGCAGTGATCAAAGAATAAAAACACATGTTTAACTAAAAATAATACTAATATTATAAACTAGCTTTCGCCCGCGACTCCGTTCGCGTAGAATTTAAAAAAAACAAAAGTGAGTAGCCTATGTGTTCTTCCAGACTGTCCTCTACATCCATACCAAATTTCATTGAGATAGGCTACTCACTTTTGTTTTTTTTATTTCACGCGGACGAACTCGCGGGCGAAAGCTAGTTGTCATATTCGTTAAAAGTTCGTCATTATTTTAAGTAATAAATTTTACCAAGAAATGTTTGGAAAATAGTTATTCCTGTTTCATATATTGAAGTTGTCTAAGTTGGGAACCCTAAGTTTCAACGTTCGTAGAGAACATACCTGCAGTTTGCAATTAATTTAAATGTATGAGCAACTTATTGTATGGAAAACTAAGGGAAGCGTAAATGTACTATCTTGTCACGGAAACTTGTTTAAAAGTTTTCTGTAATATTATTTACAAGAAACATTTGTATTTTATATTACCCAAAACAAATGAGGCTTACGGACAAACAGAGACAAAAAAAAATGCGATTTTCCTTTAACCATTCCAACTAAGCTCTAGGCTTGTGCTAGGATATGGTTCACAACAATAGTCGAATGGCAGGATTCGAACCCTCCACCGCAAGATCGGTAATCCGTACCCCCTAACCATTAGGCTATTGGCGCTTATTAGATATATAGGTAACGAATTCAAAAGCTAATAAAACTATTTTCAAAATTAATAGTCATAGGAGAATTCAGGTGGCCGCTTGTTCGGTTGCCAATTGATACTAGCGGTTTCTCACGACTTCGTCCACTTGGGATTAAAAAAAAATAGTGAAAAAAAAAATATATTCATGTTTCTGAGACCTTCTTGGTTTATTTCAATACATACAAAAACACAAATCTTCTCTCTTTATAATATTAGTACAGATAAAAAAAAAACATTTTCTTTCTAACGACATTTTTATAAAAATAAACTATTACTATTATTTTACTTTGTAATATATTTATAGTCAATATTTTATTCAAATAGCAATAAATCAAATGGTTTCGCATGAATCGAGGAGGTATGTAAAAAGGAATATTTAGTGAGGAAGCGAAGTGCTTCCAATTTCGCTTCATCCAGTATTCCGATTGGCTGCCGATGTTCGTTTAAAATATGCACGGCCCGTGTTTGTTAATTTGTGCAACGCGCTCGCCAAATTGAGGTCGTGCTATTGGATTTTTGAATAGTTCTAATTCTAAGAGCTCAGTTTGTTAAATCTCACGTCTTTAGCTGTCGCCCGCGACTCCTTCCGTTTAGGATTAATGAAAACAAAAATAACC